GGATATCTGAAATGACAATTGTGGATAGGAAGAATGTCATTGTGGATATCTGAAATGACAATTGTGGATAGGAAGAATGTCATTGTGGATATCTCAAATGCTCACTAGGAAAAATTAAATTAGAGATATCTGCAATACATATCCAGTCTAGCGATTAAAGCGGCTTGCCATACTTTTGCATGTATTGTTCCTGTGCTGCAGTATTAAAATATTTAAAAATGCAAAATAATTATGCTGTGATTGCATTGTTTATTTTTTCCACGTATTATAAACAAATCTAATTTAAAAAAAGAACTGTAATAGTAATACATTAGTTTCACTGCAGGATCCGCTATTTAAACGCGTGCGATTGCGCACTTGAAAAACATGGAACGGATCGAGCAGTGACAGTCAATCAGCTACCTGCGGTCATATATCTAGTGACAGTGGAACATTTTTCTCTTCTTGCAATGGCTGTCTGCAGGGCGTCCCCTCAAAAACCGATAAAGTGGTAGCAGGCCGTGTTAACACGTCTGACCGGCTTAACACGTAAATAATGTACGTGTTAAGACGTTATTTGTTTGCGTGTTAACAGTAGACGTTATGCCCCAAATGGCCTTCCATAGTTATGTTCTGTTATTTTTTCCTCTTTAGTTCGATTTAAATGAAGCTTGCACGAGACCGAGATTTAGCGCGGGAATCGTAGTTTGATTTAAACCGTTAATTTACCGGAAACCTATAGCCCTGTAGTGTCAGTCAGACAGTGATTGCGAGCTGATTGGCACTTTGAGTTGGAAACCCAATTAGAAACGTGGGGGTGGGATTTCGGGGAGAGTGGGACTGGGTGGGAGAAGAACGTTAGTGAGAGGAAAAGAGGCAGTTTGGAGATTGGCTGAGGAAAGTAGTTCTTTCGGTCTGCTAGGTGGAGTGATGACTGAATCTCAACGGGAACATTATTTTGAGAATGAGAGTGTAGTTTCTGCGTTCTTCGTAAATCGTCTCGTTGGGATTGTCCGTGTTTTAAGAACGGGTCAGTTTGACGAGCTGCGCGGCCACGGAATGAGAAGATCCCCATAGTGCTTTGTGCTACTGGTGACACGCCGAGTTTTTCGGGCCCTTGTGGGAGTTCGTGGTCAGTCCGGAGTACCCCTGGTGGATGGAATTGCATGTTCCCCATTATCGTCGGAGCGCAAAGGAGGTAACCAGCGCTTCTTTGCTTTTTTTGAGCGAAGCGGCCATTACGGTTTAGTGTATTAAGGCGTTTTCACGCCTGTAATTCGGCTTCCGTGGTACGACTCAGTTGATTAGTTTCTAAACTTGTAGCGTTACCCCTTCAGTTTAGTTCTGTTCTGTGCTTTCACACAGAAGAAAATCCTAGCGAAGCAACCGCCCGCCACTCCAAACCACGTGAGATCATTCGTTCTTCTTATTGGTCAGATGTGTCTGTGGCGGGAGCGAGGTAATAAAATTCGGGAAGAAGGTCCTGCGTCATGGGCTATGCCGCTGAGCATCTAAATTGTATGTACTGTTACCTCAGTTTTTGTTTTTACTTTCACGCAGTGCTGTTAGGTCGACCGGTCAAATCTTCTGTCTTCCAGCTATTGACTGAACATTTGTAAAACTTGCGCTGTTTTTAGAACTGACAGATGTTGTCATCTGCCCAGATTTCAAGAAGGCAACGTACCTCTACTCGTCAAGTAGAACCTCGGGTCATTTCTCCGCCTAACTGCTGCTACAGGTTTGCGTCCGTTTAGCTAAAACTGGCGGAGTACAGCTGGAAGTTGGGTCGGATTGAGCTCGCTTCACGTTCACGCAGCAGACTTCATTTGGGACCGGACCGAGACCACCTCCTGTCAAAGGTTTCTGTGCGGTTCTGTTGGTCCGCATCCGAGTGCAGTTACCACTTTACTACGTCCTACCTTTATGAAGTACATGGGAAGCATAGTTTCAGAGCCCCAGTGTTGAGAAGCTTAGGAAAATCACAAGAAGCGCTTCAAAGAGCCATGTCCGACTGCTTAATGTAGGTACTTAAAACAATCGCTCGAGCCGATCGCGTCGCCCCTGATGACGTCATCAATTTTCAAAGATCGTGTCCTTAGGATTAAAAATTTTTCTCTTTTTGGGACCTAGCACTGCACGAAATTACGTTAGATGGGTGCCATCTTGGACAGGAGAGCCTCGATTTCAAAACAATTTTTATCCGATCAATTTCCGTGGTGTTTTCACAAAGTTCTGTTTGTTACAAACTAAAGGTAAAGTTTACCCCTCCCAAAAATAGTCAGTAACCCCCCAGGCAACCCAGACTCGCCTCCAGGCGCATTCTTTGGTTTCTAAACTACTTATCTGCAAAGTTTCACAACAAAATTCAAGCGGGATCTTGCATCCCCAGCCCGGGTCTTCAAGGACACAATGCATTATGCGAGCTGGCAGACGAAAATACGGTCGAAGTTTGGATAATGCTGCCCATTTTTTCCACAGTGCATTGGCACAGAACAAATCTGCTGTAAACAGTACTGTATGTATCTATGGCTATTTCCTGTTTACAAGTGATTTTGTGAAATTAAATTCAGCAATTTTTAATGCATACTGCTATCTGTAGTCCCCCTTTATCCTTGGTTTCATTAACTGCAGTTTCGGTTATCCGTGTTTTCACGTGGTAAAAAATAATTAAATGTGTAACTATGTTTTCCCCTTGTTCCTGTGTTCTTTGAGGGGTCTAAACAGCATGATTTCATTGCTCTCATCCATAGAATTTAGATAAATTATATTTTTTCATTGCTCTATCATGTTGAGAATTGGGCTACAATGTAAGGATCCCTTCATTCAATACAGTACGGTATAATAAGGATCAATGTACTTGTTAGAAATGTCTTTCTGTGCCTGA